AATGGTTTTATTTTCACACTCATTGCTTTCAACTGTATTGTGTGGAGTTTTCCTTTCCTGCTGGGAAGCGAGTTTCTTAGCAACATCTCATTTCCTGTCATTTCCAATTATGAGTATAGTCTCATTTGGGTATTTAAGACCTGGTCTTGTTTATTTAAAAAAGATTAATCTCAAATCTGATTCAAAGCGTATCCTCTATCCCCCACAGTTATTTGAAGTGAATGTGTGTAGATGTGTGTTTTTTGGGGGATTGGGCGGTGCTCTGGTTCTGGGACACTTTCTTTTCTTCCTTCTTGGATGTAGTTCCTCTGGAGCTGGGGGCTGAGGGGAGGGAAGGAGGAAGCCCAGGTCTTCATATATGATTGCTGGAATGTCAGCAGTGGGCAGGTCCCAGGTCACACTCATCCTGTTTCAGACAGATACTTTCTGATAGAGTGTTTGAAAGGGTGGTCTCTGCATAGTGGTGTATGTATAGTTTTCTTGAGGCAGGACCATTCCCTCCACCTCTACCCCTGCAGAGATGTGCTCTGTCCACCCTCGGCCTTGTCGGTGGGCACACCAGCAACCCCTCCTCTTGGGCACACAACAGCTTAAGCAACCCTCAGTGCTTCTTCATGAGGGCTGATGGGGACCACTCTGCTAGTCTTGTATCTTCTGAGAGCTGAGAAGAACTGTTGGGCTTCCCCATCTTCCTCCCAGGCACATCAAGTTGGGTCCCACAGAAATCTCTAGATTTTGCTGGGCTTTGGGCCCCATGTTCACGTGAACCTCAAATTTTAGAGGATATGTGTCAAGGGTTCCCTTTTCTCCCCCACGGTGTGCCATACTCCTAGGCTTCCAGACGTTCTCCCAGGATTGTCTCTTCCCTGATCTACTCTGGTGGCAGCACCAGGGAGGGCTTACGGTCCTGCTGCTCAGCAAAGGGTCCAGTTGAGAAAGGAGATGCCAGACCCCACTTCTTGCAGGCATCTTCAGTCCTTGGGAATGATTCTCAAGGAGCAGCCTGCCCTTCTGACTTAGGGAAGTGGAAGGGACCTGCGCTTTCCCTCAAACCTGCCCTCTCACAATCCTGAGCATCTCTCATTCCCTGTTAGACTGGTGGGTGAGATCTGGGGAAGAGGTGGGAAGGGTGGTATGAGAGAAATTTGTTGGTGCTAGGGCCATTTCTGCTGCCTTTTAACAAGGCCTGTAAGGAGATAGCTGGCTCCAACTGCTGGGGGCTTTCTCTGGAAAGTGGAGTACTAACGTGACTTCTGTTTTGGACCAGAGCAGAGTTATAGGATGCTGAAATATGACACCAGTTACATATATATTATAACGTGTAGCCGTAGATAGATGCATAATGATATACAGGAATATATCCTAGGACCTAAAAAAATCAGGCTACCTCTCTGGCCCCCTTCTTCTCATATGCAATTTATAAAAAACCCACTAATCCATAACAAGCACAAAGAAATGCAAAACATTTTTTTTTTATTTTGTCAATATACAATGTAGTTAGTTATTGTGTCCCATCACCAAAGCCTCCCTCCCTCCTCCCTCTCCCCCCTCCCACCCAGATGTGTCCCCTCCATTTTCTCGTTGTAAGAGCTTCAAAAAAAAAAAAAAAAAAAAAAAAAAATTGG